ATATATATATATATATAGAGTGATAAACATAAATCCAGTTTTGAAAGAGATTTGTTTAGTTTTGTTTTATGTATATAAGTATTTGCCTGCTTGCATGTATGTGCACCACACAGACCAGAAGAAGGCATCAAAGGCTCTAGAACTGGAGTTATGGAGGATTGTTAGCCTCCATGTGGTACTGGGAACCAAACCCAATCTTCTGCAAGAGCAGCCAGTGCTCTTAACTGCTGAGTCATTGCTCTAGCCTCCATAAATCCAATTTTCAAGATGTTTTTGCCATCTTAAATTTGAATATTTGCTCCAACTGATCAAACTCTCTCCTATTCTGTTTTATAATTACAGAATGTATGACTTCATGATTTATTTAGTGACCCTTGATCTGTCCCTGAGTTATAATGATTTAGGAACAGCTGTGCTAAATTTTGACTAATTTATTCTTTCAGCTAAGTGCTTCCTGTGTGCCAGGCTTGAATGTGGGCACTAAGGATTAAGGCTTATAAGAAAACAGGTTTCTACCCACATGAACCTTATATTCCAGTTAGTATTCTAAAATCTTACTCTGATGTCCTTCCTCTTATAAGAAGAAATTAGACAAAACAAATTCACATTGAGTCATGCCGCAAAATTCCACATTCTCAGACTATCTCATTTATATGTGAAAGTTTGCAAACTGTTAAAAACAAATACAAAAAGGATATCTATAAATTTAAGTGGATTATTTTGTTTGATAGAACTTGTCAGACTAAAGCCAGAAGATAGAAGAAACTAATTAACACTGATATGATGTAATGATGTAATTAACATTGATGAAATCAACATCTTTATTTAAACTGGCAACCTCATTTCACTTTCTATGAAAAAAAATGATGTAACAGAAAAAGTGTTGGTTGGCTATTCTGGGATACTAAAACTTTCTGGGGAGTTGTCTATCGTAAACCACAGTGTTTCCATCTTGGGACTTTACTGTACTGTAAGGAATCAAGGTGTACTGTGCCTAGCCTATAATAAAATTGTTCATTCTTGACAACCTCTTTCCACTTCTAGATCATTCACTAGATTTTATTACATTTTAAGTTTGGTGGAAATGTTTACATAGGTCATCAAGATTATGTGATGAAATTTTCTGTTGAGATATTAAGTCCCCAACCCACTGCTCATTGTATAATCAGAGTGACTGGACTCTCTATATGGGGGTGTGGCCAGGCTGTTTGATGTCTGTGCTTAAATGGGCAAATCTATAGACCTGCAATCCAAAGAATCACTGAGGGATGTTTTCTTTGTCTTTAAAAGAAGTAAAAAGTTAACTTTTGCAACCACCTTTACTAACAGGATATTAGTAAAAGATAAGAGAATGGCATCATTTTTTATAAAACTTGTGCACAGTACACCTGGTGCCATCATGATCCTCTGTGCTTGCCAGCTGGTTATCACTGCCTTCATTCATGAGCAAGTATCTAAGGAGAAACTGTTTCCCATCCTGTTTGGAATCTGACGCTGCTTCAGTTACTTTCATTAGCAAAGTGCTTATCTTGGAGATAGGAGCAAACTGACATTTTTTAAAATTGCCAGTCACTCATCTTAGAGCACAGATAGTATAAAGTTGCTGCCACTGACTATGGCTTGGGGAACCCAGCAGGGTAGGAATCTCTGCACTCCAGAAGTCTTACATCAGACTGGTCAGAGATGCTGTGATGAGTCATGAATTACAGATGTTCCCTAAGCCAGGGACAAACACTTGAGCACTTCCTCTGTGGATAAATCCAAGACCCAAGACATTCATGACTTTCTGGGATGTTTTCAGTGACAACCCTGGGAAGGTAACAAAGAAGTAGAGGCCTTTCCCTTAGTAACTAATACTAACAGAGTGAAAGAATCTAACAGAATCAATTGATGGATCAATAGTTTGTAACTGATTAGAGCTTTTCCTTCATACCAATCAGCCACTAAGTTGTTTATACTGAGGATCTTGAGCGTCCTTGATTACTGATCTGGTTTAGAAGACATGTCAAGAAGATCAGAGACTGGAGGATTCAAATTCCAGAGCATTTGCTATTGGAGAGAGGCAGAAATAGTTTTTTAAAGATGTTCTAATGGTAGATTCAGGAGACGCTTAGAATGTGATAAGAGACAGTCACTAGGCACGGGTGAACAGATGGATTCCGTGTTCTAAACATGAATATTTAGTCAGGGTCAGTGGCACAAGCCTGTAATTCCAGCCACTTAGGAGGTCAAGGTACAGAGATCACTATCTCGAGGTCAGCCTGAGCTATAAAATGAGTTCAAGGCCAGCCCAGTGAACGTGGTGAGTCCCTGTCTCAAAATTAAAAGTCTAAAAAGGGATGGTGATACAGCTCAGTGTTAAAACTCTTGGGTAGCAGGTGTGAGCCCCTAGATTCAATCCTCGATCAGAACATTAATACATATTTGCCTGGGGATATGCGTGGGGAATTGTATGAGTCCAGGAGCCATTAAGGTCAAAATAACAAAGAAATCGTCTAAGTACTACATGTGGGAGCCTTTTAAGTGGTTTCTGGTCATGGTGATGAGTATATAGCAAGCAAGTGTCTTAATTCAGAACTACAAAAGGTTTTCTAATAGCATGTACAAAATGATGTGCCTTAACTGTATGTTGCTGGCATGTCTATTATCAGAACCACTTGTAAACTTTCTCTCTCTTTTTAAGTTAAATGCCACTATGGATAAAACACACACACACACACACACACACACACACACACACACTAAGAAATAACTTTAATCAGATGAGGAAAATTACTTTTTTATTGATATGTTTTACTTTGCTGGCAGACCAGAGCAAAGGTTTTGTGAACATTTAAAAGATGAAAAAAGTGAAGAATCCCAGAAGCGGTTTATCTTGAAGCGAGATAACTCTAGTATTGATAAAGAAGACAATCAGGTTGGTTCTCAAGTTTGAGAGTGGCTGGTGTTCTTGAAGGTGGGCTGACTGATGTTCTCGTGGTCCCTCTGTTGTCCCCTCCTGCCTCCCAGCCCTCTACCCCGCCTCTGACAACCGCCCTCTCTCCAATTCCTTGGCCTCCCTTGCCTCCCCTTCAGTGCTGGATGGGTAGCCACGTGGTGTTTCCCGGTTGCTTAGCAATGGCTCTGTGTTGGGCTGCATGGGTGGTGCTTGGCGCAGTTCCCTGCTGCATGTCAGTGGTGGGGGTCGGGATGCCGCAAGCTCCGAGCTTTGGGGATAAGCTTGTCAGTCGCATTTCCAGATGTCTGTGTAACTCTGCCAGTCGCTCCACTCCCTACAGCTCTGTCCTTCCGTTGTGCACAAATTGAGCTGGATTGTCAATGCGGACGATGACCCACCGGTGTAGCTGTAAAGAACAAACCTTGTTATGGTGAGGACAGGTGGATTTTGCAACTATCCTAAAAATAAGTCTTCACAGAAAAGAACCAAGTTCACAGTCTAGTCTCCCACCCTTTCTTCCCATGTTGTGTGGTCTTTGTAAAGTGTCTGCTCGTTTTGCATGAAGTGTAGCAGAAAATCATCCCTGTGTATGTTGCTTGTGACAAAACACTATGTCGTTCTAGAACAGTCTTAATCATGGTCCTTGGCCAAAGGTAAAGAGACCTTGCTGACTCTCTTCCCTAGATGTTGGGGGGAGGGTTGGATGATGAGGGAGAAAACTAAGGAAATGGCAAGAAAAAAAAAAAAAAAAAAAAAAAAAAAAAAAAAAAAAAAAAAAAAAAAAAAAAAAAAAAAAAAAAAAAAAAAAAAAAAAAACAAACGTTAAATGAAAATAAGAACAGCACAAAATCACTTAATTTGCCATGACAATTGTACTTACTGTCTCTGACAATCAAAATAGATATTTTTGAAAACGACTTTGCTTGAGAATTATTTAAAGGTAAGACAATATGCCTCTCACTCAAATTCTCATGTTAATTTCTCTCAGTGAGTCACCGTAAGTCGGTGTGTGCATCTCTGATGTGCTTTTAAAAAAACATGTTCCTCATTTGTACCTCCTTGCCTTCCACCACCACTGCCACCACCTGAGCTGCACCAGGGCCCTTGTTGACTGGGAAACATTGCCTGTGTCCTGTACTCAGTTGGGTGTCTGATGAATGTACGGATGAATGTGGTTAGTGCAGACAGGATTATGTCAAGAAAGGCAGATATTGGGAGGACTGAGATGCAGGAACTAAGTCAGGATGAAGACCAGTGGTCCTCATGCTGGGTTCTTTGAACTGTTACTTCAACTTTTTCAGCACTGACACCTATCAGCAAACAAGGCTTCTAGATTTTGTTTATATTCCCAATGCAATCCACAGGATCAGTCACTGAGCAAATTAAAGACCACCAATTCGGAGCTAGAGAGTCTATCGACGCTTTTTTCCGTTCCCTGCTTTCTCTGATCAATTGTTCTTTCTCTAGCCCCCGAGTTTACACAGCCATTTCTTCCCTTGGCCCCATGAACTCACCTCTTCCTCCTTTCCACCAGCATTTTGTCTCCTGCTGAGGTCAGAGCCACCGAGGTCAGCAAAAGTGACAAAGGTCATCCCTGGATGTCCCATCTCACACCTGATCTGGCCCAACGTCTGAAGCACGTGCAGGCCCACTTGTTTTTAAAATACTTAAGCTATTTGTCACCAAAGAGGAAGCAACCAGAACAGCACACTCTATCACAGCATCACACACACACACACACACACACACACACACACACACACACACACAGAGCCCATGTCCCTCAACTCAGTCTCCTCAGGGAGCAGAGGGAGTGGGACTTATCAAGCTCCAGTTATCTAAATGAGCATTTATTATTCTTAGCTGACAGTTCCTTAAACGCTCAACATGGATAACCCTCCTGATTTCTTTTCTCTGTTCAGCAAAACAGAATGCATCCATTTAGAGATGACAGACGAAGTAAATCAATTGAAGAGAGAGAAGAGGAATATCAGAGAGTGAGGGAGAGAATATTTGCACATGATGTGAGTAGTTGTTTTAATTGCCTCTTGAGTATGGTCCTTCCATCAGCAAACAGGCAGCCTCATGCCCCGGACAGTAAGCTGGCAGGGAGTACTGAGACTGGAGTCAAGGAGCAACCTGCATAGCAGCAACAGAGGTGTTTCTGAGAGAGAACCTGGCCCAGGAAGGGATGGAAAAGAAGACAAGGGTCTGAGTGTGCTCCAGGGTGTAACTTGTACAGGTAGAGAAATGGAATTCGGGCATGTAAGATAAGCCGTCAATATAGAGTTGTCAGATTTTCAGAAACACCGTACCATCTGTACTAGGTAGTAGATTACCTATTAGTGAATTTTTAAAATACCAACATTAGGAACCAGGGAAATGGCTCAGTGTATAACGTGCTTGCTGTGTAAACATGAGGACCCGAGTTTGGATCCCCAGCACTCGTGTGAAAGCTATGCACAAGGACATGAATCTGTAACCCTAGCACTGGGGAGATGGAAGCAGGTGGATCTTGGGAGCTTGCTGGTCAGTGAGTCTAGCCAATATATGAACACCAGTTCAGTGGGAGTCTCTGTCTCAAAAAATAAGGGAGAGAGCAGTTGAATAAGCAAGATACTTGATGTGGACCTCTGGCCTCCACACATGCACTTATACCTGCACATACCCACCCCACACATTAAAAATAATATAAACTTTATACAGAATCATAACCAGTATATGTCCACTATTCATACAGGTACACAGACTATTTTCTGAATTATTAACAAATACTGACACTTCATTATGCTAAGGCTCTGATAATATTCACTCCCCTTCCGTCAATTTCAGATCAAATCGAATTTATGAACACTTATCAAGAGAATGATCACAAAACAATTTCTTTTGTTCAAAACCCAACAAAGAAAAATGTGATTGGGCTTTTGAAAAATTCACCCATTATTCTCAAGATCAAATGCAATTAAATTAGATAAGAACTAGAGAGTGTAAAAACTAGCAGCAAGATTTAAATGCAGGGAGGTAAACATGTAAGAAATCGCTATAGCTTTCTGTTCTATGAAATGCTTGGGAGCATCCTTGGGCATTATAGTCTTCCCTCTGCAGAAATAGAAATGTAAGCTTGCTTGTGGCCCTCTGTAGTAAACACTCCAGGCATTCTGTCCTAAGGAGCAACTGTGTCTGCTGTGGCTTGCTCCTGGAGGCCACAGCAAGTCAGCTGCACATTGAGCTTTTGTCCTCATCTTTGGGGAGACTCCGGTCTTGGCCAGCTGCTGGTGAAAGCCAGTATCAGCACCCTAGTTTCAGGCTACATCAGTGGAATGAAGCTTCAGCGGAGGGATGACATATTCAACAATCAACATCTTCCATGTTGGTTCACCTTCATACTCCTCTCCACCCCACTTTTCTTGAACACACTAAACAGAATATTCTGACTCAGAGCTCTAGAGTTAGCATGAAAAAGGAAAATAGAGGTCGTCATAGCTGGAGGTATGAGTGTAGTTCTAGAAGATTCTACATGTGTCAACTATTTAGACTCCTGTTATGGTCAGAAGTTTTGGTGGTGCAAAACACATGCTGACATATATCGAACCTTTAAGTATGCTTAGTAGACACAAGAATGAAGTGACTAAAAGATCAGTCCTTGTCATGAGAGGGTGGGGTATCTAAGTGAGCTGGGAGACTGCATGATGGCTTCTTAAGACCTTAGTAGAAAGAACTTTTTCTGGAAGCTGACCTTTTATTCTTCTGCTCCCTCTTTTATACATGTACTAACTTCTACACAAACATTTTTCCCTTGCACTCTGCTCTGGCAAGTCAAATATTTTGTGAATGAGTCGTTACATTGGAAACTGAATATTTATCACATAGAACAAGCATAACAAAATTATTATCCTTATAAAGTTATGCCCCACTGCTAGACACTGGAGAGCTGGGCACCAGAAAGCACTGTCTCTTGGATGCTTGCCTGGGGTAAGAATGGAACTCATTTAGCTTCCTCATTTGTTGATTCTAGACTCCACAGAGAGGTGGTTACAGGGAGAAGGGCCCTGCTTTGCTTTAACAGAGGTTAACAGCTGGGGGCATCAGTCCCAGGGAAAATATCCAAGGCAGTCATGACTGCTGTAAGGCTTTTTGGCCACATTGCAGTCTTCTCAAAGCAAAATCAGGTTTAAGTGTGACAAAACTTAGGTGTCAAGCTTGTACTTTCCTGCTCCACCAGACATCAAGTGACAGCTTTCCTTAAAGTGCTGTGGCTTCTCCCCTCAGCAGGAACAGAGGTCAGCTTCGGCAGAATCCTCACAGCCAATGCTGCGGCTTTAATAATTCCAAAAGGGTGGTGACCTCATATTGCAGGATAGAGTTATAAAATTAGTGTCCTGCACTCAAAATACATGCATAGAAAAGCCTCCACAATTATCCCCTGATATCATTAGTAAAATGATATTTTGTGTATTTCTAAGGAAAAAAACCCTCCCATTGTTTCTTATCTTCCCGCAAGCTCTCACAACCCTTAAAAGCACGAGGGGGAGAATTGCACCCAGTGTTTTTTTTCCCCCTCAGCCTAACAACACAGTCATGTTGCTGGTATTTTGTCATTGCCTACTTTCTGCCTATGACAAATTATCCCCATATTTAGCAGTTTAAAACTTATGCCCTCGCAGTTTCTGGGGGTCAGGCACATGGAGTGGCACTACCTTGAAGTCTGTCACTGGAGGTCTCCTCAGCTCTAAGATGGGCCCAGCTCCACCTGAAGGCTTGGCTGAGTCATGAGTCATGTGGTGATTGGTTGGCCACTCTTGTGTACTGGGACCAGTCTCGGTTATGGTTTTCTTACAAGGTGGGCTTCCTGAAGACTGCTGGGTATCTTCATAAATGGCAAGGATCTTCCCCAAGAGAATGTGATGCATGAGAGAAACAGGGCCCAATTGAAAGCCACAGTCTTATCTGATCTAATCTTGGAAATGACGAACTTCTTTTCCTGCTGAGTCTTGTTGGACACACAGACCAACCTCAGAACAGTTTAGGAAGTACACGCAAGGTTGTGAAGAGTAAGGGGGAAAGATCATTGGGGTGGCTGTATGCTAACAAGATGTCACTCTATCATCCACTGACTCAAACTTTCAAGGATGTAACATGGCCAGTGGAATTTCTTGAACATACACTAAGGCTCATCCCCCTCACCACTCTCATCTTGACAGCCTGCTTTAGAGGACTTTCACCTAATAACTTCCAGTTTCCTAGCTGATCATCATCACTGCACAGACCAATGAGGCACAAGATAATTTTTCACAAAATAACAGTTAATTTACATTAAGTCAGTTTTTAAATAAATACAAAGGAACCAGCATAGGGACTCTGGGTTTTAGAAACCTCATCTTTACCTTAACTATTCTTTAATTTTGTTTTCTCGAAGTTTAAAAGACAGAACTAACAAAACCAATTTTTCCCAGCAATTATTTAAATAATAGTTATTCATATAGATTCAACTATTGAGTAAATATGTCTATATATTTTGTTACTTGAGGTAACAATAGAGAGTTCAGAGATTTTATTATTTATACTTTAGAGAAACAAAAGTTAATCTTAAAATTGGAAATGTCCTTAAACATTTTCCAAAAGTGTCTCAGTGTCTCAGATGTGTGTGAGAATGTGTGAGAGAGGGCACGTGTGAGTGCACGCGTGGGCTTTTAGATGCAGCCATATGACCAAATTGGCATGTTGCCCTGGTGATTTTCTACAAAACATATTTCAAATATACTTTTACCATTTTTGATATCTTGGGATAGGACTATTATCTGACAAATAAATAGATGTATGAATACAAATTTAGCTCTCAAATGATAAATCAATACATTTCTAGAGTCAGTAATATTTGAAGGAAATAATTTATTTGGTGAGAGTTTAATCTCATTTTCTGGTCATTTCTAGCTGATGTTGCTAACTTTGGGAAGACTGGTTAATAAAGCAATACATTTCAGAAAAGCATGCCTTGCTGGAAGGCATTTTGTTGAGAACATTTATTTGTCTCCCAGGGGGCTCCTGCTTGACCTTCCAACATGTGTGGGGTCTGTGCTCTGGAAGCTGCTGACAGCACACCAGCTTCTAACACAGTGGGGGTGGGATGTGGGGGAGAACTCTAACACATTAGGAAAAATCATTTTTCTCCTTGTTAGAAAAGGAGCCTTTTATATCTTGGAATGCATATAAGTGACAGCTTTAAATGTTGTACTTAATTACTGTGACAATTTTATCTTTCTCTGCCATTAAGTATGCAAGTTATTAATACTCTCTTTTCCTAAAGTTTATTTCCATCATCAACTGAATCACAGCCCATAGCTGTCTCATTTATGAAAATGTGGGGAAGGGGCAACGAGATATCATTTGAGGACCTTATAACAAAAGTCAGAAACATATCCTTGAGAGATGAGTTTTGGGGCAAAAGAATGTTTGATTTGTTGGTGTCTTGCTATTTCATTCAAAGAACTGGAGTTGTTTAATTTCCTCCCAAATTGTACTAGGTTGAAAGGTTTGATTTCCCCCAGTATTATGAAGTCTGAAGACATCACCATCTCTTTCATCAACTCCTTTAGTGAAGATGATTCTCTGATTCCAGTGCCTGGTCATACAATTTTAAATTCTGTTGACTTCTTTCCAACCACTGAGGAGGTACTATGTCTAGCCTTTGACTTAGTAGAAGGTAGTGATTTCTATATCAAAATGAAGATGGAAGCCAGTATCCTAATTGCCCTTCTGAGTTCTGGCTCCATGAACAGCAGGTTTAAGTGCAAGAATTATCAAAAGAACCTGGGGAAATGGCTTAGTTGGTAAAGTATAAGGATTTGAGTTTGATCCATGAAACTCAAGTAAGAAACAAAGTGGGGTGTGGTAGCACATGTTTATAATCCCACTGGGGAGGTAGAGACAGGCAGATCCCTGGGACTTGCTGGCCAGGTAGGCTGGAATGCTCTGTGAGGTCTAGGCCAAAGAGAAAAACAAAAAGAACCTCAATGGTGGCCTGCAAATAGCTCAGTAGGTAAAGACACTTGTCACCAAGCCTCACAACCTGAGTTCAATCCCCAGAGTTCACATGGCAGAAGGAGAGAATTCACTCCCACAGGCTCTCCTCTGATCTCTGCATGTACCATGGTATACAAATGTAAATAAATGCAAAAAGAAATTTTTTGATGTGTCAATTTAAAAAATTTGCAAATTTTATACAATGTATTTTGATTTTATTTAGATCCCTTCACATATCTGCACACTCTGCTTTCTGACCGCCCACCGAAAGAATTTTTAAACCCAAACACAGCGCCTGAGGAACAATGTCTGAACTTGTCCTCTGGCTTTTACCCCACGTACTGAGTCACAAAGGGTCATTACTATCTCTTCAGTTTTATTTTATCTTAAAATGGATCTGCCATATCCCTGTTTATCCCTTTTATTGGTCACTTAGTCATCATTTTAAAAAATCTACACATATAATATGGTGTGTACACACCTCTGTTTAAATATCTAACATTCTGAAAATAGTTGTGTTATTTTCCAAATAGTCACCCCATTATAGAAGCACACCACTTTGTACTGACCTCTCCTTTTCTATGTCTAAATTGAACTTGATCCACCTTTCCTCAGCATATATTTTATCTTCCCTATAGAGCAAGGCAAACAAATTAAATAAGAATGTTATCGGTTTCCTATGTGAACAACTAGGAAATATCAGGAAAAAGACATCTGATAGCATTTTATAATTAGATTAAATTAGTTAACATTTGTTTTCTGCCCTGTCCCCATCGTTACTTAGGATTAATAACTGATGATATTGCTTCAATGTTGAGAGGTTTATAATCAATCTCTTCCTTCCCTGGGAGTGTATCACACTCAGGCAGGGATTACAGGACTTGGCTTCACAGCTCCACCGTCCCTAGGTGGGTCCTTTCAAATCTGTTTATTCTGTCTTGATTTGAACCTATGTCCTTGGCTGTTGTATGAAGCTGCATCTCCGCTCAGAACTTGACGATCACCTATTTCTCCAGCTGTTCCCCTCAGCTTTCTTCTGGTCCTGATCTTGACCTGGAACTTAATCTGTTCACACTTGGAGACTTCTTGATGAGAAAGTACCCCGTGCTGCCTGAGAATTGGTTACTCTGCTAACAATGCTAACCTATTTTTCTCCTTTTTAAATTCTCATCTTTTGTACGTAATTTTCTTAAATTTTTTTCCCTTAGGAAGGGAAAGTAGTTTTAAAATCAGGCAAGGATTTGAGATCAGTCAACCCATCCAGCATATCTGACACAGCGCCTTCTTTTATTTTTCTTTTTCAGTCAGTTTGCTCCCAGGAAAGCCTTTTTTTGGACAACAGGTAAAATGAAACTTGCTCTTTGTGTCCTTAGAACAATAGTCTGCCGTGTGTGTCTTGTACATTTTCATATACATATGTATCCCATGTAGAGGTGTGTACTTGAATATATGTATAAGTAAATGCATATATCTATGCGTACACACATATATATTCACACATATATGTTATTTAATTTGTAAAAAGCATTTGGTTTGGGGAAGAAGTTCTCTCAGTTACTCACAGAGGCTTAAATATTTCTCCTTAAAGTCTCCATTTCTGGTCTTCCCAAAATGTAACACTCGTGACCTTCGTCAGGCTTTAGAGGAAGAAGGGGTCACTCGGGCATGTAGAGCTCTGCTGGCTTATTGACCAGGCTGCTGAAAGCATTTGTGTATTTGGTGTCATCAGCCATTTCTTGTACCTTATAATTTCAAAGAGCTATGTAAAAAATAATGGATTAATATGCTTTTCAATTTCAAATTCAAAATCATTTCCCGATCTTCCTAAAAGGACTGAGATGAAAACTGTATCTAAAGTGGTTGTAGATTCATCAGTACAGCCGGCTAAAGCTTTGGTGAAGAGGTATTTGATATGCAGAGGATTCATAGTTTATAGAGTATCATAGGGAGAAAAGCAGATTTCTGTAACTTAACATATGCCTTTTTAAAAGAGTTCTAAACTGCCGTAACTATTAAAATGTTGCACTCATTTAATTGCATGTATTCCAGACAAATGAAGAAATTTTCATGAGTTGTACAAATCATATTTAAGATGAATGAACCAAACTCTGTCACTTGATTTAAAAATGCAGGATTCATAAATAAAGCAGTGGTTAATTTTATTTCAGGTGTCATCTTAATGGCTCTCCCTATAAGACTGATTAAAATTGAGGCTGATTAAATGCCAGTATTCAGAAATTTAAACTGGGCATTAGAAATAACTAACCTAAAAGAGCAAAATTGTCACCATTTACATTAGCAGTTGGAAATCTTCACATGATTAAACCCTGAGAGAACTGCCTCATAGATGAAAATGAAAATACAAACTGTGTCCATATAAGGGATTGCAGAACGACCACAAAATTCTCAGTTTTAGGGATGTATTCCCCATTTCAGGTAAAACTGAAGATTCAAGACAGGTAATTACCTTGCTCTGAAGCTTTCCAAAATGTCACACCCATACCAAAGATGTTAAATGAGTATTTACAGTTCGCTTCCACGGGAAACATTTCTGAGTTTTCTACCCCGTCATTTCCCTACCTGACTCTTTAATCCTATTCATTGACACTTAAATGTTCCAGATACTTACGTTGGACCATATTCAACATTACAATAACTGGTCATATAGGTACATTGTCTATATGAACATGTCTTGTTATTCTAAGCAGAAAAAATCAAATCAAATAACTCTTTTGCAAAAGTGAAATCTATAAGTATATTGTTTGAATAACTGCCTTTGGAATGTCAATATCTCCACTGGATTGAAAAGGTTAAAAAATAACTTTAGAATTACCTTAAGGAAAAAATCACAACTATTATTTTGAATGAAATTAAATCAGTTCCTTCCATTGCCCTCCTCCATTTCCTTTCCTCCCCCCTGGCCCTCTACCTAGCATAGGATAGGGATTATAATCATCATATGCTGCCACAGACTTAAGCAAAATTTAACATCACACAGATAAAACATAATATGCGGGATTGATTTACAAGCAAGGCTTGCTGTGGTGAAGTGCACATCCATTCGGCATAGGACATTGGATACCCTTAGGCTTTATGTCATAAACGTCCTGTTTTTCATTCCCAGTAGGCTCCAGGAAGACAGTCACATATGCACTGAGACCTATAAGAAAAGACAGCTCTTTCGGTTGGTATGGTTTCCTTTTTTAAAATGTGTTTTCAGATGATGTGGCAGAATCCATGTGAAATATAAGTGTATTAGTATGAGATATTTCTGTTCATGGAATTTAATTTGTTTAGTTCTCTCCGTGTAGCGTTTATCACACAGCTGGACAGGACAAGAGGCAGAAGGAAACTGGGAGGTCTTTACTTTGCTCATACTTCTTCCTGCTTCTTCCCCTGAGTATGTTTCTCCAGGGTTCACTGTTTGATCCACACTGTTAGAGCATTCTCAAATCTACTTTGTCTAATTACACCGAGTTAAAATTTATCTGACAGGGTGTAATTATACATACATTCCCAATACTGGTAAATAAATTGATGATAACTATTTTGGTAGCTAATTTTTAAATCAGTACCGTTGATCATAATACTTCAAACAGTATTTCTGAGCACAGCTTTAATTTCTAAAGGGAAACTGAAGTTTCTTTCGTTTGTAGTGAACTCTTTAAATCAAGATCTGTGTGAGAAGGGGAAGAGATGACTCTTTAGCTCTGTGCTGGGCTAAGGGCTCCATGAGAGCAGAGACCACTGCATTTCTCACCACTCTATCAAATGTCTTCCGAGATTCTTTGATAAGGCCAGTAGCAAACAGTGTTATTGAAAACACTATTTGAACCTGCAAGATGGTTCCATGGGTAGAGGCACTTGCTGCGAAGCCCAATGACACGAATTCAATTCCCAGGACTCACGCGGCAGAAGAAGAAAACCAACTCAGAGAAGTTGTCCTCTGATAGCCACACATGTGCCTTCATGGGGCACACACACACACACATATACACACACACACATACACACACATACACACACATACACACACACAACATACACACACATATACACACACAAACACATACACACACATACACACACAACATACACACGTACACACACATACACACAAACGCACAGATACAACACACACACATGTACACACACACACCACACACATATACACACACATACACACACAACACACACACATACACACACGTACACACACGTACACACACATGTTAAATGTAATAAAAAGTTTTAACTACTCATCTAGTATACATGTATCAATATATTGACAAATACTAGGATTCATCTCTAAGAAAAGCAAAACTCCAAATTCTCACTAATTTCAAAGAAAGAAAATAAGGAAAATGGGTAGATTATGTGCTGATCTTTTCTGGCAATCAGTTTGAATTTAGGAGCTTATCATTGTAGAATTCTCTTGTTCCTTTATGCTTTCGCAGGAAAAATAAATCGGATCTTGTTTTCTCACTCCTTTTGCTTTCTTAGGTTGAGCTCTAGTCTAAAACATTCCTCTTGGATCATTAGATTATCTTTCTTTGGCTTTTGAATGTTTATGAAAATAACCTTGCAATTTTTTCCATTGAAAACCTAGGGCCTGCACTCACACACCCTGTGATATAGATAAAATATGAGCTCTTACCTTCAAAAGCCAGTTCTTTTTACATAGCCTGCAAGACGCCTCCTGGCACAGCCACTCTATGCCTAGCACGACTCAGCAGACCCATTGTGTGTCCTGTCATTCACTCAAATCACCAAGTAACAGAAACTCAAACAACCAAGCACAAAGGCACTCAGATAATTATAACATCATAATAATAGCTCAAAGTATACAACACCCTTAACGTGTGGGCAGCACAATGTCAGAATTGAAGAAAAATATGATCAGTTATCAATAAGCAGAGAAACAACACAGGCTATGGGTATGCTTCATGACTACTGTGTGATGAAATGCTAGCTACCTGTGAAATGATAACCAGCTCCAGTGACAATTGTTTTCTTGGCAAGAACCAGGCTGAACTCTAAAAGGCATCCAAGCACGTGTTTTCCTGTGATGCTGATGATGCCGTACCCAGGTAGACATGGAATTTGTAGATAGAGAAATATGAATTACATCTTAATGCTTACATATCTAGAAATCGTAAAATGATTGAATAATTTTAATTCAAATTCAATCCATGACACTTCCTAAAAGCAGAAACTTCAGTTCCTTTTTTTTTAAAAAAAGCATAGACCTTGTTTTGGGATGGGCTACAAGAGTGGAAGGGGATCTTGGTCAGTTTGTTAACAAGGGAATGTAGTTTAAGTCCAGATGACTTCTTTGAGTTGCCTGAAATAGCTCTGCTAGGCCAAAGAGTACCAAATACAACCCAGGAAAAATGGAGGCTGCCTGCTTTACAAAGACAGCTGCAACCACACTGGAATTTTTATAAGTCTGCATTCCTGCTATGGAAGTGCAGATGTCATGGGAGGAGGGACAACTCACACACAATTGATGATGAAACAAAGAGTCGTCCCCATCTGGAGGGATTCATTCCAGCATGCTAGGACTCAGAAACAGCCCAGATCTTCAAGTCAGTGTTTACCTGTAATGAAGACCCTAGGTCTGCCACAGAGGAGACCATTGGCCCATTCCTGGTCTACTCGTAGATGCTAAAGAATGATTTAGCCAAAGAGGGGACAACATGAGAATTACACAGGAGTGGAATGAAGTTGAACTTCAACATTGGAAGGAAAACCAGGACTGGAGCACCAAGCCCTTGCAAAGGCAGCTCCCCTTCAGCTTGCTTCCCACAGCTTTCTTAAATTTTGAAAGAATGTATGAACTAATGCCACTTGTCTGCTGGTGAACACACTTGCTTCCTGTATCAGATGTCCTTTCCAGTGGCCATTGTCACCTGAGAACAGAGACTATAAGAATCATTGCTGAGGGAGTATTTTTATCTGCCTTGTGTTTTGAAAATGCTTTGTCTTTTCTGAGTTTTCTGTCTTACCCTCTACCCCCGTTGCTTCATAGGGTCCCAGCTGCCCTTTACTAGCTCTCAGATCCAATTACCTTCCTAAATTTCTCTGAAACGAACAAACGTTTAACAAGTAAAATTGAAGCATGGCCTAAAATTTTTGTGCATCTTCTGTATAATTTTGGGACATGCATTTCTATTACATATTCAGACTTCTAGGACTTCAAGAGGAAATGATTGGTTTTGAAAGATTGTCATCTAACAAAGCTTTTGAACCTAACTTGACATTTCGATCAAGCATTGACCAAGTCACATTGCATACTGATATGAATGGAGGGATGATAGTCATTGACTATGATTAATGTCCCCTTCACTTATTTATAGACCACGAGAGTCCTAGGGTCCTTTAATGATGCATTATTTTTGCAGAAAAAGTTTTGCAAATATGCACAAAATTACTCCTTAAAGAGATTAGAAATTAAAGAATCCGCAAATTTTATCCCATTTCTTGTAAAACACATACAACTTTTTATACTGCTTAAACATACCTGGGAACCCTCAAAACTCCCTTTTGGCCATTGGATCTTTTCCTCTTTGAATTTTGAATGAATATTTTCTTTCATTTAGAGAAGTTTTCAGAATTTCCACTGATGCCCTTAGAAAATTTCATGTCCATGTGCAGAGTCAGCTCAGTTGTTTCCATAAGTTTTTCTCTGAGAAGGAATGAAAAGCATTTCCAAAGATTTCAAAGGTTAACCTCACAGGGGAAAAGTTCTTGCCATGGGTTTTTAGAGTAATTCTATGATGGCTCTTTTGTTGAAATCTTGGTGAACATAGGTAACATGCAGAACATAAAAGTGGAAAATGAATTAATAAAAAGCTTTTCTCCCAGACCAATTATTTAATGCTGAAGAGAAAAAAATATTCTTTCATCGGAATTATTTTTAGACTTATGTAAGATGATAATTATTTCTGAACATTAATTCATTGTTGATTTGAGTCAGGAGAACTTACCCCCTTTCCTCTCTTCGAGAGAAATTAACAATTATATTTTATGCCATGTGTCTCTAATTATGTCTCCTTCACTTAAAGGTGAATCATGTGACATTTCTAGGTTTGGTTTTTCTGTGTATGATGTGTGTCATGTGTCATGTGTTATCTGTCTATACATCATCCAGGTATCTGTAACACTGTTAGGGTGTCACTCAATAAAAAGAGTCTATTATCAAGACTTCCAGCAAGGGCACCTATGCCCACCCAACCTGTCATGTGACATAATTTTGTTCCTATACATCTTTCTGGTGACTGCTCCAGGGGCAACAGAGATGGCTCAGGGAGAACTTCCGGGAGTCGGCAGAGCAGCTCAGAGAACGAGCTCAGGTGGTCTGACCACCAGCGGGCCTGGAGCAGCACAGATTCTGACAGCTCCAACCGCAATCTCAAGCCTACCATGACCAAGACAGCGAGTTTTGGGGGCATCACGGTGCTGACCAGGGGTGACAGCACGTCCAGTACCAGAAGTGCTGGCAAGCTGTCCAAAACAGGTGGGTAGCACTGAGTGGGTCCCCATCCTGGCGTTTCCTGGGTTCTACCCAAGCCACATGGTCTCCATTTTTCTCTGAGTTTCACTTAACTAATGGCATGACATTAATTACATTACATTGCAGGAGATCAGGGTGTGCTATTCAAATAGATTACTTTGTCCTTCCAGTTAGTCGTGGACTTAAAGTACATTAATTAACCTCTCCTTTCCTGAGGTTTTTACTGGTAAAAGTAAGTTATCACGGAATGTTCCTTGAACACAATAAACTTAATATTTACTTAAAGTTTAAATCACATCATTTTTTAAATACAACTGATTACACTGGCAATTGCGGATGGCAGTTATTTAACAAAAATTAGCTACTGTTTAAAAATTTATTTTTATTTTTATTTTATGTGTATGTATGTATTGCCCAGAAGAGGCTGTTGGATCCCCTGGGACTGGAGTTACGGACAGTTGTTTGCAGCCATGTGGGTGCTGGGATTCAAACCCGGGTCTTCTGCAAGTGTTCTTAACTGCTGAGCCATCTCTCCAGCCCCAGCTGTGGTTTTTAATGTCATATTATGACATGTTTCTTGCAGCTACCTTGTAAAGTACTTGTATTTAATAGGTTCAGTTCCTGCATTGGCATACTGTTAGTATGATCCTGGGTCTGTTATTATTTAACATATGTGAACCTGTTTCCTCCTCTGAGACATACAAATGATATATCCCTACATTGTACAGTTATTGGGAAGACAAAAGGCTTCAATATACGCAAAGCATTTTGAGTAACTGGCAATTATAAGCACCAGTCAATACAGGTTTTTACTGTCGCCATTGAATGTTTTTATCCCTGGTTTGTAGGTGAGAAAGGCAAATCTCAGGGAGCTTTCCTGTTTCCACACTGAAGATTGTTCTGTATCTTTCTTCTGTCTTTCTGTTTTCTCTGTGTGTGTTTCTTTTCCTTTCCAGGGAAACAGTCATATTTTCCAAAAGGTGACTCAGACAGTATTCTAGGTGCTTAGAGTGTAGTGATGAGCCACTCTACATTAACTTCAACCACCGCTTTAAACAGATCAGAATCAGCATGTTTCACTTGAGAATAGCAGACTCCCCAGCTGGAGAGACAGCTCAGTTGGTAAATTGCTTTGTAAGCAGGAGGACCAGAGTTCAGTCCCTCAACACTCACAGCAATGGGGAGGGAGAAACAGGTAAAGCCCTGGGGCTTGCTGACCAGTTATCCTAGTCTATTTTGTGAGTTCCAGGCAAGTGAGAGACCCCACCTAAGGGAAGAGGTAAACAGCACCTGAAAATGACACAAGATGTTGACTTCTGGCCTCTGTACTCACAAGAACCGAAAGAGAGAGAGAGAGAGAGAGAGAGAGAGAGAGAGAGAGAGAGAAACCCCATTGTCACTAGTAAAACTTGAACTGTGTTTCCAACAGACCCTGGGTGTCAGGTCTATGGCCCCATGGGAGACCTTTGGAGAGGATGAAGTTCGGTTGAAGTTTATTCACTGACCTCCCGCACTGAATGATTTTAAGACTCATGCTAAGACAGGAGAGGAGTTTGTGTAAAATCTGGGTCCATTATGCTGATAGTTTAAGATAATTATGTTGTTGACAAATTCCTCCTAGGAAATTATCTCCTGTTTTCTTACATAGGAAGTAAATTAATAATATTTAGTCAGAGACGGTACTATATACATACCTCAGTGCTCCTTGGAGAACGCGGGTGGGCAGGTGGCCTCTTCCTGTGAGTTTTGTTCACTGGCTGTTACGCTCTTGATTTCTGACTCTAATTAATTGCTCTCCCATCACACTATCACGGCAGCTGATATCCACACAACCCACCGTGGTGCACTTGAGTTCTTACAAACTAAGAAAGGTTAAATAGTTTTAGATCTTAAGATGCAGAAACCAAGTACCTTAAATGGTGCACTTAAAAATTCCAACACCCCAAAAGAGCTCTTACAATTTTGAAATTAATCATCATTTTCCATGCACCAACCCCCAGTCACTTCCAAAGCACAGCTCATTCGGAGACATTTAAAACACTTCAAGAATGCTAAAACGCCATGCTCTTTGGAGAACGATTAGAGATTATAAGTGCTTCAGACATTTTTTTTTCCCTTTTTAATTTAAGTGTCTGCATTTGAAAGCTTGTCAAGGAGCACGGAAAAGAGAAAAAAAGTAGTTTTTTAAGGAGATCAAGATACATTGTCAAAACAAACTTACAACTTCCCTAGATGGTTTTATGAAGTAAAGCTGCCTGATTTGCTGTCATGAGTTTAAGAAAAGCACAGGTTCCCAGTTTGTTTCCTTATTGTTCACAGTAGAATTGCAAACTTTTAAAGCCTTTCAGAAACTCGGTGTGGCTTCTGAAACATGACATTGAAGTTAGTTCTCTAATTCCCTAAGTCCTGGCTCTAAAAGAGAACAGTGAGGCATTTTCCTCACTGTTGGGATGTTGGAAACGTTTTCCCACATTAGTATAAAGCTTGGCTGAGGTCTAAGTGCACAAGTCCGTGGTGTCTCTAGACCCAGGCTGTCAGCCAGCTGTCCAGCACAAATCTGTGGAGGTCTAGGGTACTGTCACAGCGACCTTGGGAGGATCCCTGGAGTGATGTTAGTGCTATTTCCTTGGTGGTTCTTTGGGATTGGAGTCTAACTGTGTTTCTCTGGGGCTGGAGTGTAACTGAGCAATGAGGTACATACTTCCTTCTGGATCTGGCAGACTACACTGTTATCAAGGACCCCTCTTGTTGAGCTATAGAACAGTGTTGTCAACTTTAGCATTGCCAGAGTGAGAAAGACTAGTTACATCACAGATTGTGCCTCCCCCAAGACTCCACAGTCAGTAGGTGTTAAATGAAGCCTGAGAATTTGCCTTTCCAACAAGTTCCCAGGTAATAGCTGATGCAACCACCTACTATTTGAAATAACCTCTATGTAGACATAAGATAAAACTTTCCTTTTAATAATTTGAGTGATTGCATGAATTTTTTCTATGTACAAAAGTGTTTTGTTTTGTCAGACTCACTGTCAACGTCTTAGGATATTTTTATATTCTAATATTCCAAGTTTAATATTCTACTTTGAATATTCAAATTCCAGTGAGGGACATCTCATCTCTCTACCACTCCCTCCTCTTTATTTCTATTAGTCCAGTAACATAGCTGGGTTATTCTCTGTCTTCTAATGATTTGGGGAGCTTTAAGATACTGTAGTGAACTCTGACCACCTGAATCTGAAAATAGTTTCTAGAATTATTAAAAGACAAAACCTTTATGGTTTGGGGTTCCTGATTAGGAACATTAAGACTTGTGTAGGTTAAACAAGTGAAGGAAGCTTTGTTTATAACTATTGCTGTAGGAGTCCAGATGTAAAGATGGGAGTGAGAACAGAACCCAGCTCCAGTGAATGCTATCGTGAAAGTTTTAAGGCCCTGGTGTGAGCAGAGGAAAGAGGCGATGTTAGAAGGGAGATTGGTCACTATGATGACATCATCCCTGTGGTACTTTGATTACTACTTTGTACTAATTGAGAGCAGCATTCATCTCTGAGTATAATGATAAATATTTTGAAGACAGTTTGTCACCATGTCCAGTTATTAAATCAGTACTAGTAGGTTCCCCCTGAGAGCCTATGGACCTCCCCAGCCATGGGCTTTGGACTAGGTTTACAGTACCACTCACAAATATTCTCCTATGGAGTGGGCCTCAATTCAAGCTGAAGGTAGTTGATTACCCCCAGAACAATCATGCCACTATTGCATCAGGAGGTACATCTTGCCTGGCAGGTTGGTAGGATAGAACACAGGATGCATAGCTGGGCAGGAGATTTGATGACACTTCTCCACTCACAGCCTGCATAGCACCTTCTGGTGTTATGGAAACTAACCAAGCTTCCAGCTCTGTTCCTATGTCCTACAGCCAAACTATGAGAGCATTATAGTTTTTGCTAACCAATATTTTATATTTATTATTTTACAGTGTAGCAGAACTTCACATTGTACACTAAAAATATATACTTACAGCTTTTGCCACTTAGACCTTAATAAAACTGAATGAGGAAATATTGGTACCCAATACTATGTTGATGAGATTTATATATTATTCTAACTACATCAAGGAAACTGTTCACAAACCCCATGTATTTTATACTTTATGGGAAATATTGCAAATACACAAATCTATAGGTGCCGGCTTTATATCGGCCATTGCCTAGAGTTAAGTTAGAGATTAAGGATTGAGGAGGGACTACTAAAACCTATTGATTTATTTTGTGGTAGGGAAAATTTTCTAAAATGGGATGATAGTGGTGTTTGTGTTATGGTGGCAATATACTAAACGCTCTCCGATTCTAAACTAATAAAAACGAATTTTATGCTACATGGGATCTATCTCAGAAGAGCTGTTGAAATGACCACAAAAACCTATGGACTTAAAAAGTTTTCAATTTTACAGTGTAGTGAGTGTAGTGCCTCTGTTCGACCGCTTGGTCATGGGAAAAAAAAAAACAAAAACAACAAAACCAAAACCTAGGAATGTGTATAGTGCCTTGTCCACTGAGGAGCCAGAGGGCTTCCCTGCCTCCTCTTCCTCCTCCTCCTGGTCCTCCTCCTCCTTTTCCTCCTCCTCTTCCTCCTGGTCCTCCTCCTCCTCCTCCTGCTGGTCCTCCTCCTCTTCCTCCTTCTCCTCCTCCTGGTCCTCCTTGTCCTCCTCTTCCTCCTCCTCCTCTTCCTCCTCCTCCTCCTGGTCCTCCTCCTCCAGTTCCTCCTCCTCCTCTTCCTCCTTCTCCAGTTCCTCCTCCTCTTCCTCCTCCTCTTCCTCCTGGTCCTCCTCCTCTTCCTCCTCCTTTGCTCCTTCTGTACCTTTTCTCCTCCTTCCTCCTCTTCTCTTTTTTCTTCAACTTCTTCCTCCTGCTTTTCCTTTCTCCTTTGTTCCCTTCTCCTGTCATCATCCTCCCCTTCCTTCTCTCTTCCTCACCTTCTCTTTCCTCTTTCTTGTCTCGTTCCTCGTCTTTTTTTTTTCTATAGTTTTTTTTTTTTTTTTTTGGACACAATGGTTTTAAGTCAATTTCATAGTGAAAAGCCTACAAGTGTTTCTTCTACTATATAGAGTCAACTTCCAACAGCCAATTCCTGCTTATCCAGCCCCAGCTTGCTTCTTCTGATGACTGCATTGTGAAAGAGACAGAGTAGCCTGAAGACAGGCTGAACACTTTTCCTGAGACCACACACCTTTGAATGTAGATGCATTGTATCATTTCTATCCCTGCTGTTGTTGGTTGGTTCTGTTTTAGCATTCAAGTAGTATCAGGACCTCAAGTCATTCATTCTGTGATGAAACGCCACATTCACCTTTGACTGATGACCTCAGAGTCGTTATTTCAGTGACATGAAGTCAAAGCTATCTGTAGCATTTTCCATATTTCTTTGGCATCCTTTATTTTCCTCTCATTACTCAGAACTCCATCACCATTCTAAACCATTTCATGGAGCACCCTGAACTAACCCACAGATTTGCTGTTATTAATAACTAATTCATGGGAAAATCAAAGGAGATGTTGAGCTGAAAACATTAACTGCTCATGGAAAGGTCATCATTAAATCTTAGGATCTAGTTCAGTCAACGTTCATCAAATTCCATATCTACCATTATCTAGCTGTATGAGGTAGCTTGGAGTACCGACTTCTTTTTACTCACTTTCTCAAACTATGCAGGCAGTCATACACTGGTTATTAAAACATCTGTCCAGAGGTTATACATCCTAAGTGTTTAGTAAACAGTGCCATTCCCTTCCTGCAAACATACTGTGCTTTCCAACAGCCCCTCTTTCCTGCAGTTGTCTATGCTTCCAGCCCTTGCCACTTAGATTAGAAGGTCTCTAGTTTCATTCTAGGGCACTTGTTAGAATTCTTGGGAAGATTATTACCTATTGCTTATGGTTTTTGTCCTTCAATGGCACAGAGGAGTATACTTTTAATGCCAAAAATCAATAGCCATGGGCTAATGATTTCCTCAGTTTTCTTTTTAACTCTAGTTCATATTTAGATGAAGACAGGCATGGTAGAAGTGCTGGGGATTCTTTACTCTTGTCACAGTGAAAGACACTGAGTTCCCTGTGAACATGTGCTATGACAGGTGTTTTTCTTAGCTCATAGTGGAGGGAAAGGAGTGACAGCTACTGATAATTCCACTTGGGGAATTCACACTGACCCAGCTAGTATGTAATACACAGCTCTATAGACTTTTCTACTATTTGTATTCAACCCAATCTGAAGGACGTTTGATCAGTGTGAGGATCAAGCCTTCCTTGGTTCAGCCCATGGTTGTATTAATATGTAGGATACAGTATGCCATTTAAGCTCTATGTGCTTAGAATCAAAGTAACAGTCTCTGCTATCTGTCACCCTGAGTCTGCCAGGCCCAGTATTTGACTGATCACATCAATAGTTTTTCTTGATTTAGGTCCTTACTATCCAAAGTTCATGTTGCCCCAGCTTTATGAGAAAAGGAAACTAATACTTAGAAGTTCAAAGTTACCCCTGGTCAAAAGGTGGGAAAAAGAGCCAGAATCCAGATGTATCTGTTTCTTCTCAACTCTCAATTCTTTACATGCTGTCCTAAATTATTCTAAATTATTTTCTCTAAAGAAGATGCTATTTTAGTTTATTCTTTTTAAAGTTTTTATTTATTTTTTTATGTCTATGAGTGTTTGCCTACATATGTGTTAGTGTACCATATATGTGCCTGTAGCCCATTGAAGTCAGGGAGAAGATGTTGGGTTTCCTGGAACTGGATTTACAAATGGTTGTAAGCCACCATGTTGATGCTGGGAACACAACCCCAGTCCTCTGTGAGGACAGCCAGTGCCCTTAATCCCTGAGCTGTGTCTCCAGCTATTATGTCTTTAGATTTGTTCTGTCACTGGCTTCAGGTTTAATTCAGTGCTAGAGCTCTTGCCTAGCATGTGCATGCCCTGGGATTCTGTCCCCAGAATCATAAAGTGAAATGCTTTTCACTCATACATGTTGTTCTCTCAATAGACATGGTCCTGTTTTCTACTAATACTGGAGGCAAAGATATTGTTTCTTATCATACCCTTACAAAATTTAGCTGTGCAAAAGCTGGAGAAATGGAGTCTCAGAACCCTGCTTGGGGACGTATAACTTAGAACCCTCTCAGCTTGAAGTCTTTTTAACCTCCACCCCATCTGTGTTTTCTCACTCAGTCTCACACAGTAAGGTACTTTTTTATAGCATTAATTACTTGGGATATGGGAATTTGCAGGCACTGAGTTCATACCTTTGAAGTTCCATTTACCAATTTATTTCCTAGCAGGATGTGTGCAACATCTGAGGGAGTGCTCATTTTCAGTCCTTCTTTTCCTAGAGAAACTGGGACATCTGAAAACCATGGCATGAAGATTTCTATAAAAACGAGCTCCAATGTGGGAAGGGCGTTTATTAATCTCCCCCCTAAGCTTGCTCCTCAAATTCCCTAATGCCCCTTATGAAGAAGTCAGCATTTAGATGTTAGCTGTTTTCTCTCTGCTTCTCTGGGTACTACATGCTCTGTTGATTCCTATCTCCGTGCCAGGTTCGGAGTCTTCCAGCAGTGCAGGCTCTTCGGGCTCGCTGTCCCGTACTCACCCGCCTCTGCAGAGCACAGCCCTTACCTCCGGTGTGGCAGCGGGTTCTCCTGGCTGTATGCCCTATGCAGAGAATGGAATGGGGGGCCAGGTCCCTCCCAGCAGCACCAGCTACATCCTCCTTCCACTTGAAACTGCCACAGGCATTCCACCAGGAAGCATCCTTCTTAATCCACACACAGGTCAGTCCTTCTCTGACTTACTGGGGACATGGTGTTATCAGAGTTTTGTTCTTCTGCTTGACCATTTGAATGTGCTAGCAAGTTTTCTGAAAAAATTCTGAATAGGAAATAAGGTATGTGGACTGATTTGCAATAACTTTGGAGAAGAGTAAATTTATAGCTATATGTACACTCCCATATCTACATTTATGTAGATCAGATACTTCCCTTAAGAATCCTCTTCTCAGGGGCTAGCACTGTAGCTAAGAGGTATTTAACTCGTCTGGCATGCCTGAGGCCCTGGGTTTAAATGTCCAGCACTGAAGAGGAGGAAAAGGATGAGGTGAAGGGACAGGAGGAGGGAAGAGGAGGAGGCAAAGGTCCCTTTCCCTTTGTCCCTTCTTCTCTGCCTATGAAGAGCCTTATGGTCTTCTGAGATCTAAGATCAAAGACAGCAGCATCATAAACTGGATTACCCATCCAAAGCTTGATCCTTCTCACATGTATTGCTCAGTGAGCCTGCATCACATCAAGCACTTTTTTTCTTTGCTTTTTGAGACAGGGTCTCCCTGTAGCCCCAGCTGGATTGGAACTCACTATGTAGACCAGGCTGGCCTCGACCTCAGAGATCCACCTGCCTCTGCCTCCCAAGAGCTGAGATTAAAGGCATGCACCACCACGTCTGGCATATTTTTCATCCCAAAACATTTCAGGCATGTGAGGAATCACTTGAACTACAGCAGGCTCCTAATTATAGAAGGCGTTTCTCACTATAGAACTTCTCCAGCTCCTGTGAAGGAAAAAGAACCAGCAAGAGCACAGAGGATAAAGAGAGCAAGCTGCTCAATAACCTCAAAGAGAGAAGAGGCATAGCCTGGTTGTAGTGGGCTTGGAGAAATACTTCCCCCATTGGCCATGGCTACTTTCTTGAAGGATGACTTCACTAGTGGGTCAGATAACTTCTATGCTAAATCCAAAGGACCCATCTCCTTTCTGCAGGACACTGCTCAACCAGAGAAAAGTCTGCTTTGGCCCCATCCAAGGCTTGTCAATATCTTGAGAGTGTCAGGATCACAAGTTGGGAGGAAGAGAACACTGGTGGCATCTGTCAGATAGAAGCCAGAAGTGCTACTGACCTCCCTGAAAAGCAGTGCACAGCCCCTCACCACACAGGATTATCCTATTATGCATGTCAGTAGAGCTGTGCTGGGGATCAGGGTTTGACAAGCTTAACATTGGAGAGTCACTTCTTAAGAGCTCTTTATTAGTGATTTGAAAGAAATCATGTCTTCTAGAAAGAGATCTGAAGTTTCTCTCAGGTCATGGTAGAGTGTAATTTCAATTAGCTGAACTGTAAAAGTACAGTAGTGCCTAAGTGAGTCACACAAGTGGTCTGACTTGGTGGGCTCACACGTAGAGTGCTACTAGTAATTAGGACCCTCAGTGCAACATGACAACTATGGCAAAATAGTTCCTGAAGTGATTGCACATTTTTGAAAAGCATAGGGTCCATTCTCAGAGCATTGTTTAATTGAAACCTTCTGAAAGTCCCATAAGCTTGAAGGAAAAGAAGCCATTATCATTTTCTTGAAACCAATTTGAAAGCCTCCGATTAGATACTTTTGAGTCATTTCTGAATGATTCTTATTTTTATTAGGATGATTATAAGCATCAAAGTAAATTAAAAAAGACTGGAGTTATAGCCATTACTAAAGTCCTTACTGAAGGGTGATCAACTTGTTGACATTAAAGTCTTTCACTGTTAATTGACATAGAAGGTTTGCAGAGAGGCACATGTGTGGGACATTTGTTTTGCATGATTTGTTTTAAGCCAAATTACAGTTTCAAAAAGCACAACAGAGTATTTTAGGGTACAATGTAGAATATTATTTGTAATGATAGTGTGGCTGTGCATGTGTATATTATCATCTCTAACCTCATTTATTGAGCAAAGAAATTGACTTCTGCTGATACCAAGTCCCAATTCTTATTATTAGATGGCTATAATCAAAATATCTCTTTGGAGAAAGGATCTCGATTAGAGAAAAGGGTATAGTAACACTGTTGAATGTCTTCTACATACTCATTTGTCTGGTCTGGCAGATGCAAGGAATTCATATTTAACCATATTTTATAATATGGTTAAATAGTGAGATATAAAATTCACATTTCCAAACTAGGGAGATTGCTCAGTGGTTAAAGCGCTTGCTGTGCAAGTCTGAGGACCAGAGTTAACTCATGTAAATGTCTGATGATGGGTGTGGTGGTTTGCCTATAACCCCGGTGCTTGGAAGGCTGAAGCAGGAGATACCTAGAGCAAGCTGCCTAGTAAAACGAAAAAAATCGTCAAGTTTTGGGTTCAATTGAGATATCCTGTCTCAATTAATAAGGTGAGAAGTGATTGAAGAAGACTTCAGACCTCAACCTTGGGCCTCCACAAGCAGAGACGTAAATGCACACCAGTACACACACGTATGTTCCCACATACATGGAACATGTATACATGTATGTACACAAACCACACACATATACACGTGAGAAAAGAAATGACATTTCTATTTCATGGGTTGAAAATCATGTATGCTTAGGGCATATCTGTGGTATGTGTGTGCATGCAGGTACGAAAGCAACACACCATGTGGTTTCTGACATAACCTCTAGTGTAATTTGCATCTTCTGGACTGCAACCCATCCTTTACTGTTGTCACTGTGGGCAAGAAACCAACCCCCTTACCCTTGCCCAAGCACATGGCAAAACGCTTTGGTGCTAACCACCAACAGCATCTGACTACTTCGTGTTCCATGTTCTTGGACTTGGTTGCACATCTTGATTGTTAGCATATTTATAAGCTCCTTGTGGGAAGAGGCTGTACTTTAATTTGTTTACTACACTAGAATGAGTGACAGAATTCAGGCACAGTGCAAATACTCCATGATTACTACTGAAATATTATCTGCAAGCCATTACATATGTTCATCTAGATAGCGACTTCTCACCTAGTGTCATGTATTGGGGAATATGTTTCTTGCATGAAGCTATAATTGGCTGAGTCAGTGAGATAGGTGAGCTTATAAAGGCACTTGCCACCAAACTGGACCATCTGTGTTTGATCCTTGGGACAAGCCTGGTGGAAAGAGAGAACTAACTCCTGCAAGTTGTCCTTTGAACTCCAATTGAATACTGTGGTACATGTGCCCATGTACATGTGTTTGTGTTCCTGTGTACACACACACACACACACATACCACTAAATATATATCTACACACAAAAATCCCACTAAGTATTTGTAATAATTCTATAAAATTATAACTGGCAAAATGTCTCTTAAACCAGGAGACAAGCAATGATTTGAAAGTGCTAAGACGCCCCCATGCATGTGTCTACTGCATAAAACAAAAGTGAAACTTCTTTTGCTGGGACAGGTGGCTTAGCTCTTGCTTAGCCCTCAACATATGACACACAGAGAACCCATCTATATGCTCTTGCAGATCTCCCAGTACAACTACAAGCTTGAATTTTGTGTGTATGTATATGCAGCAGTGCATGTGTGTGTGGTGTGTGTACCCATGGGTAGACAGAGGCCAGAGAAGGGTATCTGGTATCCATCCTCCTCTGTCACTCCGTCTTAATCTCTTGAGACAGAGTCTCTTGCTGAACCTGGAGCTAGACTGGCAGCCAGTACGCTGCAACAGTCCTGCAGTCTCTGCCTCCCACAGCGCTGGGGGAGCAGGCAAGCACGTAGATAACCCCAGCATATCACATGGACTCCAAGAATTCAGTCAAGCCCTCATGCTTATGTAGGAAGCACTCTTACCCACTGAGCCATCTCCCCATTACCCCCGCAGGTTTGAATTCTGTCTTGGCCACAGACTTCTCTCACGCAGTCTTACTTGGGACCTCTGGCTTCCTCTTTGCTGTTCTGGGGGTGGATGAATGAAAATCCACAAAAGACTGGACTCTTCAACAGAATCTTCCTTCAGCTCTCTTGGATCCCAGCCTTCTTTGGGAAATTTTAGCAGAGAATTCTTCTTTAAAGAGCTACTTGCTTTTAAAGTAGTGCAATCTAGAAATTCCAACCAGCACCACACAAGTGCCATGACTGCCCGTTATGCTGTCTTGCCACTTTGTTTTGTTCTCTTTCAAATGTCCCTCCTGGGTTTCCACGTCGTCATTCTTTAACACTCCTGCTCTGTCAGTGCACCCTCACAGGCTGGGTCAATCCCTGCCTATCCTGCACTTTGGCCCCATTTGAATACAGTGCCTTCTACAAACTAGGAAAATTCTTCTGTCCACGCTTTCTCCTTCCTTTTTTTTTTTTTTTTGAGACAGGGTCTCCCTGTAGCCCCTGCTGTCGTCCTGTAACTCACTATGTGGACCAGGCTGACCTTGAACTCACAGAGATCCGCCTGCCTCTGCCTCCCGAGCGCTGGGATTAAAGGTGTGCGCCACCATGCTTGGCCTCTCCTTCCTTTTTAAATTACCCTTCTGTTAAGTAGATAGTAGAGATAATTTGGTGTCATGGGTTTATGACTATTTTTACTTCTTATGCCAGTTGCCCTTGGGTTTATTGCCTTGTTACCAAGACATTTATAAACTTCTTTTGGGAAAGGGGAATACTCAGGTTCTTTTTGATACATTTATTGATGTATGTGAGCACACACACATGCAAAGCATGTCACAGTGTGACTGCAGAGGTAAGAAGGGGAGGCCACCCTGTGGGAGTCAGTTCTCGCCCCCACTGTGTGGATCCTGGAGATCAAACTCAGGTCATCAGACTTGGTAGCAAGAGCCTTTACCCACTGAGCCATCTCACCAGCCCATATTTTGTTACTTTAAATGTATTATTATTATTATTATTATTTGCTTTCCTGCAACCAATAACAAAGCGTTCAGCCCTGCAAAATTATTCAATAATTACATATTATTAAAATAATAACTAATGCCCATTCAGTGTTGATGTGGACCATGGAACAGTTTTTTGGCTAATTCTATATGTTCGAGAGATCAACCTCTGTCTCG